GAGAAAGGGATCGATGTATTGTGACTTCCAGACATGGTAATAAGTCTTGTATTGGGTCGATAGGGGATATGTGTGTAACCGGTATTCTTCTGAAGATTTAGGAGCGAGCGGGGCCCATAACCTGTTGGGATAAGACCGTAAGTAAGAGCTCAGGCGGTTACACGTATGGGTAAACGACTGTATAAGTCAATCTCTACCTGTTGGGATAAGACCGTAAGTAAGAGCTAAGGTAGAGATAAGTAAGTAATGTATCAGAAGAAATATAAGTAAAGGAATACACACCTCAGGCGGTTACACGTATGGGTAAACGACTGAGGTGCAAAGTACGGAAAGGAGCGAGAAAATTGTATATACGGAAGTAAAAGACGGTGTCAGTAAATAGGAGTAAAGAGAGAACGTAGCGTAGGTTTCTGAACCTCAACATCCTATATCCATCACACCCTCCTATATCCTTCACTTTTCCATACCGGACGATGCCTGGTGTATGGTGAGTTGTTTTTCTTAGAACGAAAAGATGCATTGTTTCTCAATGATGTAGGTCCATGTGATTGCATGCAGGAGAAGTGCAATCGGTCTATTTTGCGAAGGATCTCAGAATCATGAATTTTGCACTTGGTCCTGATGTTAAGGATCTCACTGGAAGATCAGTCATGCAACTCTGTTTTGAGAGAGAAGATCAAGAAGAGGTCGAAGTAGTTCCTATCTGCGCGTTGACGCCTTACAAGGTTTGTGTCAGATGAGCCCAGTGCTATAGGTGCTTTATGTTTCTCTAGAGTGAGCAGTTCTCCACCTGCATAGAACTGGATGCTGGTAAAGAATATGCCTTCGAAGTTGTCAGTGACAAGTACGCATCTCTTTTTTGATTTTTTTCACTTTGACATTGGGTTCCAGTGATGTCCACCTAATTGGAAACTATATTGGTGATCATTCAACTGGACCTCAAGTCACACCCTTCGAAGCGCCAAAAAGTGTAAAAGCCAGCAGTATTCTCGTGCCTCAACCTGTCTCATCAACTGCTCACGAAGACAGCTCTCGGTCAATCCATGTTAGTGGGCCTATTTGTTTTTGACCGGTCTTTAGACTGCCATGTCATCTATTGCTCAGGATAACAAAGATCTGCCGGCATTTGTAGATAAAGACCCATTTAAGATGGATGGTAGCCTGGATTCAACCCCTCACACAATTGTCATAGAAGAGATAGTTGGACAAGGTGAACTCAATACTCATTGCAGTTGCGTCGTTTTGTATCACATGTGCAAGTTACACCCTGGGGATATTACACTTGATCGAAGCACGACTGCAGATGGACCTCCGGTTCGCCCATCCCCCATTTCGATGGACACTGATTCATTGACATTCCAACCCAGTCAGAAGTCACAGTCGGGTTGGGGCACATCCCAAAGGGTGAGCCTGGCAAGCCAATCTTCGGAACCACCTACATCATAACATCCCTTTTTTCTAGCTTGGGACCAACACATTATTGGTATGAATGATGGTGGCAGTCATGTCATCGATATCCCACCTCATTTAATCAACATGGATGAATGGGAAAAGCATCTCACTGGGCAGGGTTGTCACAAGGGTGTTCAGCGACTTTCGGAAGTCAATCCTCAAAAAGCACATATCATCGTTCATAAGTATATTATTGATCTCATACATGAAAGATGCCTTTAATTCCTTCCCAGGTACAGCAGTTTTTAAACAAAGCAAATGACATTTAGTCAATTGAGTTCCTTGCGTGGGGTTGGTGACATTACTTAGTTGTTGAATGCTTTATACCGTACAAGCAACCCAATTAGTAGGGTGAAGTGAGCTCCTAACTCCCACAACTTGCAGCCTGAGAACCATTATACTATCAAAGGTAAGTGTCATCTTTTGGAGGAAGGCTCTCTGAAGCGGTCTACAGGTGAAATATAATCAAGTTCTATACAATGTTGCAAACGGTGTTATCTAGCTATCTCGCAATCTAAAGCCAAGTCACTGACATTCACCTAATCTGAAGCAATGTTCGTCAGTCGACAAATTATGCTAAATAGTGATTTTGTTACCTCATCCATCCTGTTTGCGATGTGATCCACGCGTGCTGCCAGCCTCTGGTATTCAATGTCAATTTGATCTGCTTGTTCAATTAAAGAGAGCATGGTGAGATTTCGCAGTCTTTTTATGGCTGCTTGTTGCTGGGTTCGGCATTTCAGCTCCCCCAGGCTTTAGTAAAGATATCAAATGGTGGGACTCACATCGTTAATTACACTTCGACTTGTGCCACCCACCCAAAGTATTGTGTATGCAAGTAGCGCTCCTAGGAAGAGGGATGCTACAAGAAGGAAAGCCAAAGCAACTTTGCTGATTAAAAGTTGTGGAGTCATCTTGGTGAGTTGTAGTAAGCTGGGAGGGTCTGCTAGCCATACATTAATGAGTTTTCCCTATGATTGTCTCTTTGATTGCCACCCCACTGGCAGCGCTCAGCGCATTTGAAAGGCCCTTTGTGCAACTTTTCTTTGTGAGTAATCACGTGATTGGGTGTCGAAGTGGTTCATGCCACCAGAAACAAAGCGCCACTGGTAATAGAATGGGTTAGGGAAAGAATCTATATAACTATGCCCTTCGCGCTTTCACAAGTACACTCAGAAGTGGCATTGATTGTCCTCTTCTCCCTCACTGGTCTTCATCTCTCTTCTCCTGCAATTCTTCCGGGCCTGCTCCTTAACTTTGCCTTAACTTGTTCATTTTCCCTTTGTCATTCGATGGCTGCGTCAACGTCAGATCATGAACCCTTCATCCCAGGCAGAAATAAGTTCAAACTAACGATTCCTTTTCCTCTCCCTGGCCATCAAACTATTGCTGTCATGCCTATCGTTCCTCAAAGTTTTAAACGGAAATCTGCCTTTCTGACGTCTGAAATTATCGCACATCAGTAAGTGGCGACCCTTGTGATAGGAATCTAATGTAATGGTCTACCAGGACTGTTGCTGTTGAGACACATGCTCCTAGTTGGGAAACTCGTCCGGTTGCTGGCATGTAACTCATAACTTCTATATTTAGCGGGGGCGACGAAGCTAACAAGTCACAGCCAGACTGAGCATGCAAATCAAAGCAAGACAAGCTCTAACGCTGCGACCCCTCTTGTCAAGTAAGTTTTACTCTTTTTTCCTGAGACGCTTCGTCAAGTCTTTTCTTTTAGGGGTGACCCTCTTGTTGACCCCCAAGTCTGCAGCAACCCAGAAGTAAGAGTGACTGAGGTACCTGATCTACCGCCTCAGTCCATTTCCAACAACCTGTCAATTTCTGCACACTCAGGCTCCAGGTGATTCCCAACGACCACAACTCAACTGTTCTAATCTTGTCTTCAGGCCGACCTCAACAACGCACAAGAAGAAATCAACAACAGATTGTGCATCTTCGTCAACGGTGGGCCATACCTTGGGGTATGTGCTACCCATTACAGATGGATCTATTTCTACGATTTCACTCTACATAGATTTAACAACCTGGGGGACCTGGGAGTTGATATCCCTCAGCTTTCAGTAATCTCCAATAACGGAAAAACTCAGTCATTCGGCTCAAAATCGTATGTCATTAATCTTCATTGTTTGTCTGTACTTAGTGCCAACAGGTCCAGCCTTCTGGATAGTTACCATAGCATGCAAACACGGTTGTCTTCAGCGCGGCTAAGTCAAAAGTATGATGGCTTATTGGTGGGATCTGCTGTCATTTTAACTAATCGTGCCCAGGTCCAACACCTCACATTTGGGCGTACAGACCGCTTTTGGATCATCAAAGGGGTTAATCGCATCAGAGTGAGAATTCGTGCACCTAATGACATTGTGACACCGCACTTATATGCCATCCGGCCGCACCCTGTGACCATACGGCTGCAGACTGGGGACCTATACATCCACTGCATTACTGGCACGTCGCAGGTCCAACATTTTTGCCAAAACAGTGTACTGGAAACCTGGGAAGAGTATGCCATGGGGATGGAGCAGCATTTTCAGGGTGAAAAGTATGTTTTATCATTGAATTCAGGCGGTCCAGTCTGGGTGCTGCCATCCACCAGGGGGAGGCACCAGGCTGCACACCTCAGGAAGCAAATTTCTCCCTCCACTTTTGATTCGATCTCAGCTGGCAGTTCGCGCTGATGAATTGAATAAGTAAGACATTACATGTATAGTGCCACAATCCACCAAGTTGATCAATTCATTTGTTATACCACTTTCCCTATGAGCAAGCATATATTGAGTGGCTGTCATAAGTTCTTTTTTCGTGACATGTTTTTTGTTGTTTTCTTGGAATTTCTTTCAATGGTGATCATTCCTTCTCATGATTTTATCATGATCACGCAGATCTACACGATGTCTAACAAATGGTAATTGGATGTCAGGAAAAAAGGATGGCAGGGTAGATAGGGAGGTAGATAGTAGGCTGCGGGTGGTGAGTCTGCGACGGAGGCCTATCAACCCACTGCAAGTCAGTTGGGGTTGTTAGAGGCTTAGAGCAGAAGAGGGGCACATTGGCAGGCCATAAATGCAGACTTCTTACTTGGACTCGTTTCATCGCAACCACCGATCGCCTCATCTCCACCAAGGAGGAAGTCATGATGCTCCGCAATTGTTTCAATGAGGAGTTAGGACGGCAAGCAGCTGCGGCGAGGAAGATGATGAACATGTTGACATCATCCAAAAATAGGTCGGCGGGGGAAGAAGAAAAAGTGGTCTGCCCTCGCGAACAGTCTGCCACTCTCTGGTGATGGAGCCGCAAATGGTACTTCCCAGACCAATCGGGCCCACTTCCGCTATGATTCTTGTCTGCTGAAATCCCACTATGGCCAAATGCCTCAGCCAATGGATTTTTCAGGTTCTAGAAGTTAGAATAAGACACCGCAGTCATGGACACTGAAGGAAACACAAGTCAGGGGATGGACAGAGAAAATTCAGAATATCACATACAGCATGACCTATCAGATCGCGCGGAGATGGGAGAAACTACAGAGCAGTAGCAGGGTAGAATTTGGGTATAACAATAATGCTCCATTGTTGATCATGAAGGTGGATGAACAGGTCTTACAATGTTGTTGAATAGAATAATACTTAGATTGGCTGACTACTACATTACATTGTTACATGACTGGCCTGGGAAGTGAGTCACACATGTTTTGTTCACTCTTTAGCATTACCACATCGACAACTTGATCCACGGCTCATCGCAGCACTAAGCGGATTCGCGCTTTGCTATAGCCTACACTTCATGGCCTCATCCTTCGATTCTCATAACCAAGATTGAAAATTTTAGGCACCGGGTCCACAGATATCTCGAACCATGGATCACCGGATACACAGATACCTGAATACACGGATTCAAGCTTCACAGGCTCATTGTCACAGCACCGAGCGAATTCGTGCTTTGTTGCACTTTTGGCCTCATCCTGGGATTCTCAAATGTCTTACCAAATGGGATAAAAAACTTTGTGGGCACCGCGTAAATTCTCACTGGCATTGCAGTCCATGGATGACTGGATCTACAGATGACTTGATCATCAATCTTTGGGCTCCCTGGGGACTGAGCCGGACAAATCAAACATTACTTATTCAAATGGTTGCTAGACCAACTCTGGATTCATGGATATTTCTTTTCATGATTTTTAGTCTTTCTCCCAACAAGGTCAAGCCATGGATTCTGAGAAAGGCGAGTGGGGCCAAACATCTGATTCCACAGTTTTTGAAGATTGGCCTGCAGTATCCACTGCAGGATTGGATGGGTTTCCGTCTGGGTTCTTATTCACGTTCCATCTACTTGATAGTCACTCCAGATACTCCATCGTGCCAATTTCGCTTCAAGGGCTCAATCGTTCGCTTCCATGGACTGGGTTCTGAGCTCCATGGCACCAATTCCTCATTGCCCCGACGTTTGTATAGGAAGTCCGCTCATCCTTCAGGGGCATGCCAGTGAAGGAGTGACCGTCATGATGTCATGCTCAACTCGAAGTTCATTGTATGAACCTTGTAAGTATTCACCTTCCCTCTAAGATGAACATGAAACATGAACCCAGCATTCTGCAGGCGCGACCTCGCATCTTGTTTAGGTGACTGAGATGTATTGGCCCCTTTCAGTGTGTTTTGGCCTCATTCCTCTGAAACAACACAATGGTCAGTTTCTTCCTCCATTTTTTCTTCCTTCTTCATCTCATCACTGGATGTAGGACTGGGCCTCTGATTACATGGGAGCATCTGCCACAGTGATGGGGCATGCAAGCGGGTAGACTAGGTATCAACTTGGTTGCAGCCGATACGGTTATCTTTCATGACCAGGATTAGGTACGCATTTCATTTATAGAGAGTGTGTAAGCACTGACCGGTATACAAAACTCACAGATAGAGGTGCAGGCGCAAGATAGGGTGCATAGGATATGACAGACGAAGCCTGTGGTTACATTTTGATCAGATTAGCATGAAACGATGCCCAAGCCAATAGCACTCAAATCTCCGAGTCATGTCCACACAGAGAGTTCTCAGCTCTAGTGTTTAAAGGTTCAGTTCAGTCCGGTTTTTTGCCCCAAAAACGCGCAACCATGGACCGCAACCGGTCCAGGACCGACCCAGATATTGAGGGAACCGAACCGAACCACCTAGAACCGGTCTTTTGCGGTCCATGATACCGGTTCAGACCGATCCAGACCGGTTTTTTTGCGTATAATTTATTATACCAATATAAACCATTTGTATCTCAACCATTATTACTCTGAAAAATAAACGGGTTATATAAAATAGTAAAGCATATAAATACTCATCATTCTACCAATTTTCAAGAGATTTAATGAAGATTTGACATAGCTATGACTGAAACCAAATTACATCTCGTAGAGACTCAGGTAAAATATGGATTTGGTTATATCTTTCTCAATTCTTAACCGTTTTTGATGAAACAAAAACCCAATAAAAGGCAATAAACGTGGTTACAAGGATATGTAACGCACGTGACCGTTTAACCGGTTGCAACCGATTAAAGACGGTCTCTGAACAGTTTTAAAAGATTTCCGAAATGAGGCAACCGGCAACCGGACCAACCCCAAATTGGGGCAACTGCAACTGAAAAAAAGACCGGACCATGGTCCAGTTCAGTTCGGTCCACCGGTTTTTTGCGGTCCTATGGACTGAACCTTTAAACACTACTCAGCTCGCTTGATCGAGGTTGTTAGCATGCGTGAATGTCTGGATATGTGCATAGGTGGATCTCTGTATACGAGGATCCATGGATTTGGGATGAGGTCAAGTTCTGTTCTGACAATTTTCTCTCCAGAAATGGTGGTCGACAGCTTGATCTATGGCTCATCGTCACAGCATTGAGCGAATTCACGCTTTGCTGCACTTCTGGGCCTCATCCTTGGATTCTCGAATATGAAAGTGAAACATGAACCCAGCATTCTGCAGGCGTGACCTTGCATCTTTTTTAGGTGGTCGCGAGAAGTATTGGCCCCTTTCACTGTGTGTCCAAGCCTCATTTCTCCAAAACGACATTGTCCATTCTTTCTTCCTTCTTCTTCTCATCACTGGACGTAGGGCTGGGCCACTGATTACATGGGAGCATCTGCCGCATTGATGGAGCATGCGAGCAGGTGAACTACATATCAACTTGGTCGCGGCCGATACGGTTATCTTGGAAGCACCTCTGATTTTCTTGAGAGGCTGATTTTCTTTGTTGTAAGTTAATTGGTGAGAATTTGAAAAAAGGAAACATACCACACAAATATGTGTGTATCGCGCCTGGTTACGTGACCAGATGTGACCAGGTTACATCACGTGGGGGCTGGAAACCCTCGCGCGCCGTCACCTCCGTCACGCGGCAGTAACCTCTCTCCTGCAATCCGTGTTCATGGAGTCCTCGATAGCGTAGATAGTGTCACAGAAATGAATCTGTTTTTTCCCCTCTCTCCCTGTTCCCCTCTGATCCCTGTCCCCCCCCCTCCTCTTTGAGATCAACAGTCTGCTCTCACCCTCAGGCATCCCTGAACTCCCAACTGGGTTGTTTGCACCTCAGCCCCCCTCTCCGTTCACTTCCTGTGGACCCCCCTCATCTGTTCAATTGAGGTGACCCTGATTGAGGAAAAGGCACATCCTGAAGGTGGAAACCACTATTGCAGCTCCCACTTTTCCCTTGAAAATGGAATATATGCCAAGGATTTAAGTATTTAGACTGGTCACATTACCAGTGGGTTACCAGCAGGTAACATTTGTCTATGATATATCCTGTATATGTGAATACAAGGATATGTGTATTCATGGATACATGAATACATGGATACATGAATACAAGGATACAAGAATATGTGTATACATGGATACATAAATATAGGGACTGTCATGGATACACCTGGGTATTAACTGTACCTGATCCACAGATTTTCCCACCCATGGATCAGATAAGGCACAGTACGGATATATCCATGGGTGAAATGGCTTGAGTGGCTGGGGACATAGCTTCATGGTTATATACATGGGTGTATCTCATTCATTTCTCATCCATTCTTTACAAAAGAATTGTGTTATGAAGCGAAAATTCAGAAGAATTCAGATTGAAACAAAAGTCAGTCATATATGATAATTTGAGGTCTTTCCCCTCATATAATGCTGCTGTAACTGAGCTTTGATCACAGAGTGTGTTTTGGGGTGTGTATTAGCATGCCTTGGCCATCTTGAGAGTATTTATCCTCAGTTTCAGAGAATGCCTTTGAGAACAGTTGATATTTAGGTAGGGGTATTGAAAGAACAATTTTGGTGACATAAAGTGTTACAAAAAGCTATTCAAGAGGAAAAGAAATCATTGTCCATCTTTTTTTCAATCATTTGCATGACTTTATTGAAGCCTGGGTAGAGGGGGGATTTAATCCAGGATCTGAGAGCCATTTCTGCTCTGAATGTTTGAGAGTTGATATTGTGCTGGGTGAAATTGATCTGACAGCGACCAGTGGAGAATGCTCGCTCTGCATTCACAGAAGTAGCTGCAACAATTGTTGAACATAGAAGAAAGTAAGTGTGAATAATGGTGCTTACCTGGGGCTGAGCAGAAATCAGAACCCATTCGTGAGAGTCATGGTCAAGACTGTGATGCATTGTGCCAGTACATCATATAACCTCCCATTTCCTTGATTGTTTCCGTTGCTACAACAGGACTCACAGAGAGACTTGACTCAGTGATGTTTGATGATTTCAGTGGTAATGAAGACACTCCAACTCCTCCTCAAAAGCACTCTGACTTGCAACTTGACAATGATTCAGATGATGAAGAAGATCCAGATTATAAGGATATTGAATATGACAATGCTTTTAATTTAACTGATGAAGAATTGAGGGCAATTTGTCTGTGTATACAAGAGGTGGCACTTCCAACTTGGGTAGCAAGACCTTTTACAAACCTTGGAGAAGCCAGCCATGGTAAACTCAAAGCTGATGTATATCTTGTCCTATTTACAGTCATTTTGCCTCATGTACTTCCTGGGCTTTGGTGGAACAAAGGTAACAAGGAGGAGCTCTTTACTCTCCCCCACCTATTCCTACTGGACTCCTACTGGATTCCCGGAATCCTACCGGACTGGACTAGGACTGGGACACATTTTATGTTGGCTGATCACCATACAAATTTTGTATCCTAGTCCTAGTGGAGTCCTAGTAAATTCCTACCGGACTGAACCCAAATCACCAGGAATTGTGGAATTCTACTGGATTTTTAAGGAATGAGTCCAGTAGGAGTCCAGTACAAGGAGTCCAGTAGGAGTCCAGTAGGAATTTCCGGGGACAGGGAGCCCAGTAGGACCAGCAGTTTGTCACTGTTGTTGTTATTATATAATATAATAAAAAAGCGCAACCTGACAGAATTGAACTCTCGACCTTATGGACATAAGGACAATACTATAGAGACGAGCACTTTACCAGTTACACTAGGAAGGCATTATTATAGGTCAGTATTATATGCTCTATATACCAACGTACTGACCTCCTTCCTAGAAAGGACGTCGGCGAATTTTGCAAGTGGGAATTTTGCCCAAACCCAACAACACTCGACAACACCACCATCACCACCCTCTTGCTCACCCACCACGAACACGTCGCCCACCACGACCACAACGGACGACGACAACACGCGACCACGACAACAACGACGGCCACGACAGCTGACGACAACAAACGACCACGGCACGCAACGACGACCCCACTCACGGACACGACAACCACCCACGAACCACGAGCGCCCGCCGACATGACAAACAAGAAAGACGAGGGACAGCGACCCGCTCCCACCCGCCAACGACGACCGTAACACCCACCACCACAAACGACACCCGCCACCCACGAAAACGACAACCGCCGCCCACGAAAAATGCCCAGCGCCCATGAACGACAGCCGCCGCCCATGCAAACGACAAGCGCCACCCACGAAAAGCACCCAGCACACCCAAACAACATCCGCCGCCCACGAAAAATGCCTAGCGCCCACAAACAACATCCGCCGCCCATGCAAACAACGACCGCCGCCCACGAAAAACACCCACCAAACCCAAACGACAACCGCCGCCCACGAAAAACACCCAGCAAACCCAAACGACGACTCAGTGTATCTCTCCTCCCTGTCTCCTTCTCTCTGTTCCCCTCTCTCCCTCCCTCCCTCTCTCCCTCCCTCTCTCTCTCCCACCATCCTTCTCTCCCTCCCTCTCTTCCTCCCTCCCTCACTCTCTTCCTCCCTCCCTCCCTCTCTTCCTCTCTCCACCTCTCTCACCCCCTCCCCCCTCCATCATTTCACTTCACTCACTTCCCCTCCTTCCATAGCTCTCTCCCTCCACCACTCCCTCCATCACTCCATCACTCCCTCCCCCTCCCTCATTACATTAGTAAAATATCTTTCTGTATTTAGTTGTCATTTCACAATACAACATTTGTTTAAATGTGAATTTTGAATAGAAATTTGAAGTTCTGACTTGGTAATACATTGAAGTTGATATTCCAGTGGGAATCCAGTAGAAATCCAGTAGGAATCCAGTAGGACTTCAATGTGTGGAGCATTTCATCTAATTTGTTTAAGTCCAGTTGGAGTCCAGTAGGAGTCCAGTAGGAGTCCAGTAGGAGTCCAGTAGGAGTCCAGTAGGAGGGGGAATGGAGAAATATGTGAAAATGCCTTTTTGGAAATTTTGTCAAAATCCGGTAGGAATCCAGTAGGAATCCTACTGGAGTCCTGGAGTCCAGTAGGAATAGGTGGGGGAGTGATAAGTATTGACAAGGAGCACCAACTATTTGACAGCTTCTATCATCTTTTCACCTCAATCAATATCATTTGTTCATTTTCTACTTCAGATGTAGAAGCAGATGCATATATGGAGCCATATGTCAAGTATTGTAAATCAATTCAAGATCTATTTTCATATTTTCTTGTATTTATGTATCCACATATATGCATATTCTTGTATCCTTCTATTCAGGTATCCATGTATACATGTATCAAATATCCTTGTATTCATGTATTCATGTATCAGCATATACATGTATCCTTGTATCCATGCATACACATATCCTGGTATTCACATATACACATATTCTTGTATCCTTTTATCCTTTTATCTACATATACACATATTCATGTATTCATGTATCCATGTATATGTGTATCTTTGTATTCATATATCCATGTATACAGTATTCTTGTATACATATATCCTCATTGAGGGCTGATTCCCAGTGAAAAATGCCTCGAGCCAGATTGTGTGAGATAGTGTGAGATCAAGTCCATCAACTTAATTCAGCCATGATGAGTTAACCAAAACTGATCAGTCTTGGCCCGATATGGTCACCAGCCTCACCACACATACAAAACACTCTGATATTGCTCTGATATGCTCTCATACATGCTCTTCATCACATTTCCATTGTTTCTAAGTCCAACAAGCCTGCCCTAAACTAACTTGTGATGTCTTCACATTCTGAAACAACCTGTCGCTCTCCCTATACTTACCACCACTATGCTTGCCTCCTTGACCACCATGGATGTTGTGCTGCTGCCTCATGTCCTTGAACAGCATCAATGTTAGTACCCCTCCCTAATGTTGTTATGTGACTGACGCTGCACCCTACCGCCACCTCCATCTTCTCAACCAGCTTCGGCGTCACCGTTATCATCTGTCTAACTGTCCCCTAGTACTCTATGCAAGCTTGAGTGGTCTACAAAATATCCTAAAGGGACGCCTGCCTGATATACATCATACTGGACAGGTCTGAAGGGATCCCAGAGGAGGTAGTGAGTTTAATTCATTCACAGTGTTTTCTTCAAGAAGCACAGGTGGCAAAGGTGGAAAAGACAGCAAAGGCAGCAGCAGCGAAACCGGCCCCTTCTAATACTATGGGTGGCAGTGGTGGTGTCATAATTGCAGGATTTGGACTCTTTAGAAATGATACTATATAGTGAGGTCTTTACCATCCCCCACATAATCCATGTGGATTCCAGTGGAGTCCAGTGGATTCCAGTGGCCCATTTGTCAGGCCAAATTGGCTTGCACAATTCCCAGTCCACTGGACTCTCACTGGACTACAAGCCACTTTTCTGAGTCCAGTCCCAGTCCAGTGGACTATGAGTCCAGTCAGAATCCACTGGAGTCCAGTGGATTCCAGTGATTCCAGTGCATTATTGCTTATTACTTATTATTATTAATACTACAAAAAAAGCGAAATACACTATACAGACTTATAATTCTATTGATCAATGAACAGAAAGGTAATGTTATAGATATTAGTATAGGTAGTGATAGCTGCAATAAGGATTCATGATTTTGTTCAGTCTGCGGGGTGAGATCACGTGACTACTTGAGGGTGTGCCATATCGTCACGTATCCTGTTTGCAGCATGGTCACACATCCGTGACCATCCCTTTCCCTTCCACCACCACCACTGTCCTCTAACACCGCCGACGCCAACAACGCCCATGCCCACGCCAACAACGCCCACGCCAACGCAGAATGACGGGTCAAGAACGAGGGACAACGCCCATGACGTGGCAACGTCATGGGCCAAGGGTACATATGCCCACCACCCCAATGCCCAGTTCTCACCACGACAGGTGCCAGCGGCACGCGACAATGATGTGCAAGGTCAACGACGTGCGAGAACGACGACAATGATGACACGCGAGCACGACGACACGCAACAATGACGACGCGACAATGACGACACACGACGACGACACGTGACGACGACGACGACACACAACGACGACGACGACACGCGACGACGACGACACACCAGCACGACGATACGCTGATACGCGTTGCACGGGGATGACCGTGAAAGTGCGAAACACGCGAACAATGATCAAGCGCGTCGGGAAAACCCTAAACACCTAAACACTAACACACACACACACACACACACACTATCACAATCTCAGTGCACAAGTTCGAGGGCCTTTGGTATTAAGAAATACCACTTTTGTCTTCTTAGGTTTAAGTCTCAAGAGATTTTGTCTCAAAACGGGTTTTTATTATAAAGTGTGGTTTAGAATAGTTCAATAGAACAAAGTATGTCTTTCTGGGAACTTGGTCTCTTAAATGCAAAGTTCTTTGATCACAGTTTCTTTTATTAACACAAAACACGACTTCAATTGACTTTTATGACTCCCGTGAGTTTTTATTATGTCACTACGCTCCAAAACCAGGGGTACGAGTACGCTGTCTCGTCTAAATGATACTGTGTTTTTTTAAAAACCTCTTATTCAAAAGTCTCCAAGTAAGTTGACTCCCAAGCACGCTGGCTTCGTTCACACTGTACTTTTCTGACCACGAAGTAATCTCCTTTAATTGATTACAACTGTCCACCTCCTAAGTTCCTACTTGGAGTGCAACTAGCTGGTCAACGGGGGGGCGATTGCTTGCCTTTTGACCTGCCAGCACGCTCCTTATATACTCCAGGAACCCCTATCTACGTTTTACATGTGTTTTAATGCGGGATACTTCGGTCCGAATTACAAATATGAAATTTAATGAACGTGTGGTATATTTTGTAGTCTATCTCTGTGAACACTACAGATTTTGTAGTGTCGCGTCTTTCATCTTCAAACGCATCAGTGTTTGATGCGTACGTGGAGTTAGCCGACGTAGCTATTCTTAGCTTGGCATGATCTCGCGTGTTTCTTTCTATGGCCCGGTTTACCGGTTTGACAGATGACATCACAAAATGATTAACGTTTCCTGATGTGTTGATGCGCATGCGTACATGTTTACCAATAGTCTTCGGCCTTCCGTCGCTTCCGAGTTTTTTAATTAAAATGCCTTGTCTTGGCTCGTCTTTTCATTACGGAGGTCGGGAGACACTCCGAAGGTGTTTTCAAATGTCTTTCTTAATTGTCAGGGGGTTCTTATTATATTTCATATAATAGAATGTGTCTTTTTCTTATGTTTGTACTTGTGACGTTCAGATGCATCAGTCTTTGATGCATACGCGGGAATCGCCGTACATGACTTTCTGAATGGCCGTGAGCCACACTAAGTCTTCGTACGTTTACTACCTAGGTGTAGTTTAGTCTTTCAATGTTTCAGACATGCCGTTTAAGCGTCTATGTCATCTTTTCTGTATTTCTTGTATAAGCACGAGTTTTCACAATAAATCCATTATGTGTTTCTAAACCCTTTAGTAGTAATGCAATTCTTCTCCCTGCATTGGGTGTTTACTCTAGAACCTCTTGTGCTCTATTTCATGGTAGGTGAATCTTAGATAGGATCCAAGTATAATGTCACGACGCGTACTGCTGCCAGTTCCAAAGCCTTTGTCCTATTTTCAGATTCCACGCATTTGCATCTTTAGTCAACTGCGCCGGGTATGCGCATTGACTCTTTGTATCATTGCAATTGTATGTAGTGTATTTATTAGAGATGACCTTTATTGGTAAAATCGTTAAAATTGAATTTTATACGGGTGAAATGGTTTCATCCGTATCAACGCGACAACGACGAACGAGCGCCCACCACCGCCAATGCCAACGCAGAACGGCGACGAGCGCCCAGCAGCGGCACGTGACAACAACGACGACACACGACGACAACGACGACGTGCGAGGATGACGACGACGTGCGAGAACGACGACACGCGACAACAACGACGCGACAACAACGACAACAACGACACACGACAACGACAACGACGTGCGACAACAACAACGATATGCGACAGCGCCCACCACCGCCAACGCCAACGCGGAACGGCGACGAGGGCCCAGCAGCACCACCCCTCCACTCTCTC